TTTGAGATGGAGTCTCGCTCTGTAGCCCAGGCTGGAGTGCAGTGGCTCACTGTAACCTCCGCCTCCCGGGTCCCGGTTCAAGCAATTCTCCTGTCTCAGCCAGCCGAGTAGCTGGGATTACAGGCACATGGCACCACGTGTTTGTATGTTTAGTAGAGACTGGGTTTCACCATGTTGGCCAGGTTGGTCTTGAACTCCTTACCTCGTGATCCCCCTGCCTCGGCCTCCCAAAGTGCTGGGATTACAGGTGTGACTCCAGCGAGTTACATGTTTTTTAAAGGACAGATATATGTGAGGTTCAGATTTGATTTGATAGTGTTTTAGGATAATTACTTCTTGTGGCAACCGGTAGGGAAAAGATTGGAAACAGGAAACGGTATGAAACACTGAGTTTCTTGACTAAGGCAGGGGTGGTTAAAGAGAAGACATACTGGAATCTGTTGTAGTGGAACAGTTGAGAGTTTGGGCCCACGTCTCAGCTCAGTCACCTATAGCAAGTTCCTTACCCTCTCTGAAGCTCAGTTTCCTCATTATAAAATGATGGAGATGATAATATCTTCTGTAGGCCAGTGTTGAGAGGATTAAATGAGATAGCGTGTGTAAAGTATTTAGCGTGCTGCCTGGAGCAGAGGAGTGTTCAATATGCATTAGCCATTATGATCCATTTATTATTAATAATTATCGGAGGGTGTGGAACACTAGGCTGAAATCTGACAGGAGCTAGTGTGGGAGCTCTGCCTTTAACTTCAACATCAAATGACCAAGGACAGGGTGGAAGGAATCTGGCAGATGTACATGAGGATGACGCAAGGGTCTTGGGTGACTGCAGTCTGTGGGGAATTGACAATGGATGGGGTTGCTCCAAAGGCTTTTGCGCTCCTGGGCCAATTCAGTAGGAAGGGGCAGTATCTCCCGGAGGGAGTTACTGGTCTGTCTGTGACGGTGTCTCTGAATGCGGGACTGTGCTTTGTTCAGGTGCCACATGGACAATCTAGTTTAGCAGTCTCTAATTTTTCAAAGCTAATGCCCCCTTTGAGAAAATTCGTTGTGAACTATGGACTCTCTCTTCAGGAAAACATACATGTGAACCTATGTGCAAGATTTGCTTACAGTTTCAGAGGTTTTTTTTTTGTTTGTTTGTTTGTTTTTTCATCCCAGATTAAGCTTTCCTGAACCAGACAGTATTGATTAGAAGAAGGCAGGGTAATGTCTTCTCAGTCTCTGATGTCTCACTTTAAGCTCCAATTATATGGAACTGTAGGTAATTCAGTGAAAGTCCAGGCTCCCTTTTACCTTAGGCCTTTTTGCAGGTATTATTCCCTCTCCTCCCACTTCTTCACCAGGCCAACTACAAAGTGTTCCGCTGGCCTTAGACATCACCTCCCTTGGGAAACCGTCTGTGACCCCAGAGGAGTCGGGCAGGTGGTTCCTCTATGCGCTCTCAGGGGCCATTTTATAGCCCTAGTCTCAACATCTCTTGCAATTGTCAGCTCACTTCCTTCTTTTCATCATTTGGCTGTGAGCTGGAGGGCAGGGCCTGGGGTTTGCTGCTTTTTCTCAAGCGTCTGGCACAACCCCTAGAACATGGCAGGCACTCAACAAATGGTTGCAGAGCAAATGAAAGATTGGCAGGCCTGGAGATATAGCTTGAAAGGCTTGTTAGGCCTATGGATAGAGAAAAGATGATGATGCCTTCCTGAGGAGGAGGGAGTAGATTAGTTTAGTGTCGCAGGAGGGCAGAACTGAGACCAACAGATAAAGATTAAGGAGGCAGATTTTGACTTATGTAGGAGCAAGGGGAGAGCTTACTAAAGGCCTCACAGCTTCAGGTTTCCTACAGAAAAATAGGCTGCTTAGCATGGTGGTGAGTTCCCCATCAATGGCAGTCACCAAGCACAGCATGTCTGAGCACCTGTCCTCGTATGCTAAATATGAGCTTTTGATGTCCTTAGTCATACTTTTGTGTTCATATGAAGAAAATTATTACAAATTTACTTTGTTTTAAAATATTAGTATTCACTATTTTTTTACAAAGTTATAAATTAAAAATTATGTTATAAATTAAAAAATTTAATGAGATGTGCGTAAAGCAGTTAGTGGTACTTGGTGCAAAGGAGTGTTGAAAGAATCATGGTCTTTCTTTAAGCTTTTAAGTTCAGCTTTCAAATCTTATTATTTTATCTATAAACCTGACAACTTTTGACAAGAAAGAGGATTTTTAAAATTTAATAAATTAAATGCCATTAAACGTTGTGAACTGTATTTACAAATTTAATACATTAAATATCTTTTCTTAAGAACTTCAGTGATCTGACTTTAAATTGATCAATTCTTAAGTTCTCTTAAATGTTTCGAAAGTGTTCATAAAGTCAGTAAAAAATTGCACCATCAAGTCACCAATTTAATTACTCAATGACACATTTAAAAATTGCCATCACGAGATTAATCTGTAAGATGCCAATTTTTCTTATATACAAGTACTTAGAAATAGTAAATATACACAGAATCTTTGGCAAGTACTATGTATTTGATTCCCTTAGTATCTTTACTTTATCCATACATCAGGATGTGTGAGTTAAAGATACAATGTATTCTAAACAAGTAATATTTTTAGATACAATTTTATTCCCATTTTTTCACATTTTTTCTGTTTTTTCTTTTCATGATAACAGCCTACCGTTATTAAATAAATAATTATGCATTCCAAACATTTTGAAGGTTTCCTTGCCAAGAAAATTTTGGAAGATCGCCTTCTCAGCTGACTGAGGCTACTGATAGCAAAGACATGTGGGTTGGCAGACAGCATTGTGAGATCTGGAAGGCAGGACATCCAGGGAATTTGTGCCAGCCATTCTAACATGCAGGCTGGGTCCATTTCTATGGCCACTATGTCAAGAACTACGAAAGTAAAAAGGGAGATGATCACGTAATTTCTGGTGTGTTACCTAATATTGTTAGCCTTGAATGGGCTCACTCCATCTGATCTCTTTCCATCCATCTTACCTCTTAGGTCTACACTTCTTTCAGATATGAAAATAATACTTTATTGAATGTTGGGCTCTTCTGGTTCTCACTTCACTTTGTAGGCACAACTTACAAATTAATCGAAAAAGTTACCAAAGGCATTTTCCAAAATTGAGAGGGAGATGAGACTAGATCATCCCTTTGTTTTCTTTGATTTCTTGATTCTGTGTTTTGGGTATACCAGAGGAGGCTATGGCCCCTGTGACTCACAAGAGAGCCAGTGATGGAGGGAGGACCCAGTTTAAGAAGAGAAGGCCTATTCAGACATATGGACCTTAAGTTCAGTAGCACAGTGTTGAGATAGTGATACCACTGAAATAAGGGGGAATTTGGGGGAGGTCGTCCGTCTTCAGAGTGAAGCAACAGCTCACAATACAAAGAGGATCTCTAAGAATAGTAGTGAGGAGTAGTGAGGAGGAGGACAGCACTCGTGGTAAGAGGTTGGAAGTGCGGGGAAAGAGGAAGTGTGGAGGGAGTGCTCCCACACACCGCTTGTAAGCATGGAGACTGGCATGGCTCCAGAAGCAACTTGCCCACGTGTAGGAAAACCCCACACTCCTCAGAACCCAAACTAACTACAGCTCTTTTTAAGGCACTAATTCTTTTTTAGGACAATATCTTTACTTAAGGAATAGTATAGAATATAAGCCAGTATTAATGTGAAAAATATCTTAATAATTATCACGGTGAAACACTAGGAAAATTTAAATGTCCAACACCTGGGGACGCTTTGCTCATCTCTTGAACTGAATATTGTATAGCCACTCAAATAATATTCTGAAACAATCTCTTTCAAAAAATTAATAAAACTGGAAAAGACATATATGGAATATTAAATTTATACAAAGATGCAAGATGTAAAGACCGCATATACAATGTTGTCTTGTTATGAGTGCTTTTATATACTTTATATATAAAATATTTTAAAGTATACTTTTTATAAATATACTTCTAGTCAATCATCCCCTCCCCTGAAAGCCATCAGTGATCCTGAGGACATGACCTCACAGATGATCTCAAAGTAGCCGCTCCATGCCCACCTCACTTGCCAGCAGCCCCCATGAGCCCTGAGCCCCTGGTCATATATTTTAAAGTGTTTTATATATTTTAAAAATATATTTTCCAAGTTAAAGAAGTATCTATTATTTTTGTAAAATTGAAAGAGAAACAAAACCAAAAATCTTTTAAAAACATCTTTTGCCCTTCTAATATAATTTGGACAGGCAACACTCTAAAATAAGAACCAAAATGGATGGGTGTGGTGGCTCACGCCTGTAATCCCAGCACTTTGGGAGGCCTAGGCAGGCGGATCAGGGGCCAAGGTCAGGAGTTTGAGACCAGCCTGGCCAACATGGTGAAATGCTGTCTCTACTAAAAATACAAAAATTAGCCAGGTGTGGCAGCAGGTGCCTATAATCCCAGATCTTTGGGAGGCCTAGGCAGGCAGATCAGGGGCCAAGGTCAGGAGTTTGAGACCAGCCTGGCCAACATGGTGAAACCCTTTCTCTACTAAAAATACAAAAATTGGCCAGGTGTGGCAGCAGGTGCCTGTAATCTCAGCTACTTGGGAGGCTGAGGCAGGAGAATCACTTGAACACGGGAGGTGGAGGTTGCAATGAGCTGAGATTGCACCACTGCACTCCAGTTTGGGTGATACAGTGAGACTCCATCTCAAAAAAACAAAAAAAGCAAAACAAAAATGTGTAAGATCCGGATGAACAAAATAAGAAAGAAACTAGCGGATGTGTGGAACACTGTCAAAGCTCATGTCACATGGAAGTTGAGCAGAAATAGAAAATAGGCCACTGACGTTGTCTAAAAAGTTACAATAAATTATAATAACCAAGAGTTATTGAAACACACATGTGCACTAGGCATTGGGTTAAACATTATCTCATTCAGTTCTTTTAAAACATAAGTCTTCTAAGAGAAATATGATCACTAGCTCCATCCCACCCGTGAAGTAGCCAGGGCACTGAGGAATCCAATTATTTGCCGAGGGTTACACGGTGTAGTGCACGCCCGCCATTCAAACGTGGAGTCGTAACCACTGTGTGCTATTGCCTTGTTGCTTAGGAATTTGATTCTGAAAGGGAGAAAACCACTGAATGTTGGTTGAAAGGGAGAGTAGAGTTAAGGGCTGGGTTTATTTTGTCCTTCTAATATTGTGGCATTTGGGCATATTTAAAGGCAGTAGAAGAGGAATTTGCAAAGAGGGAGAACTAAAAGACGGATGTTAGGAAGAGTGTTTCTTCAGCATTGAGATGGCTGGGGCTCAGGAAGCAGAGGGGGGTGCTGGCAGGTGAGGTGTGCATGGGGCGGCTCCTTTGAGATCATCTGTGAGGCAGTGTCCTCAGAATCGCTGATGTCTTGCAGGGGAGGGGAGGATCGACTAGAAGTGTGGTGTTCTTGACATTTTGTTAAAGTGAGTGTCGGGGTGGGGGCTGACAGACAAAGCATGCTGAGGAGGCCTGGACGAGGAACCCTGAGGAGTAAGCCAAGCGCGGGGGCCAGGCTGCTGTGGGCAGGTTTACCAGCCGGGCCAGGCTGCTGTGGGCATGTTTACCAGCCAGGCCGGCTCAGCTGGCAGACCCTGTCCACGAGAGCTCTGTGGTCTGGAAGCAGGGGCCAAGAGAGAGGATTGGTGGCGGTGGTGGAGAAGTTCCAGAATCTGAAGAGCTGTCCTGAATGGCCAACGCTGGATGGATGCCCAGAGGAGGCAAGGGTGGTTGGGGCCGGGGGTAGTCCAATGATGAAAATTTTAGGGGAGCAAGGGCTGTTGGAGGCATTTTGTGATTCGAAGAGATGAGAGGCAGGGAGGTGATGGTGAGAGAAGAAGCAGAAATTTGGAGATGTTACAGCTGCAGTCAGTCCCACTTGGCGTTCAAGAACTTAGTGGCAGTTTGTCTGAAGGGGAACAGTCATGTCAGGGTTTCTCATGCGCCATCAGAATGAATATTATGAACCCTGAGGATGATAGCAGAGTGCAGGGCATAAAAAAGATACAGCCTGACCCAGGCACTAATGCAGCTCATGTGAATCCTGCAAAGGGGTTGAGAGGGATGTGGAGAGAATGGGCTGGAAGCAGAGGGCAGGACCAGGAGAGATGGTGGTTTGGACAGATGGCAGGATCGTCAGTTGCTGAAGATATGAAGATAAGGGGGAAGAAGCTCAGGGATGTTGTGGGGATCACATAGGATCAAGGAGAAGGATGGCCCTTCGTTTCTTTTCCCCTGTTAGCATGGGGAGTGGCAGAGATGAAATAAGATTTGTTGCCTGTTTTGTGCGTCATACCCAAGATGCTCCATCAACATTAACTCTAATTTTAACTTTCATATTGACTGTAGACACATTTTAGAGATGAAGACATTGAGACTTGGAGAGAGGTAATTTGTCCAGGCCCACACGGTTTGTATGTGATAGAGTAAGGATTCAACCCTGACTTTTTAGCACTAAAGCCTATCATGTTTTCAGTCGTAAACCTTGGTGACGCCCCCTCAACAGGAGAGGCTGGAAGCTTCCTCAGAGGCCAAGACTCCATTCCTGCTCCAGGTGCACAACATAGCTTCCCTGAGGAGGGAGAGAGGCACAAGGCGAAGGTGACCCATGGGTCTCACGGGCTCAGGGCTGAGGACGTGGAAAGGAGGGCCAAGTTGAGAAGGCCCACGGTTCTCACAGAGGCTGTCATTTCATGGTAGTCAGTACCGACCCAACGCTTCCGTCTCAGGAGAGGCTGAGGGCATCACACGAAGCTGATGCAGCATTGCCTGGTTGGTCAGCTTGCCATGAGGCCGGTAGAGGGAGCACTGAGTGATCTCATCCTATATTCTGCTTCCTTTTCTTCCCTGCATGACTTGCGGAGCACTGAGGGGTCCCTAAAGATGACGAATTACTGAGGCATTTCAGCACCTTGGCTCTGTCTCTCTTCCCCTCCGGAGAGGAGCTGTCATAAACAGGGATACCAAGCGGTGTCTGGAGATGAAGAAGGACCCTTTGGGTAGCCACGTGCTTGTGCTCCAGACCTGTACCACGCAAGTGTGGGAAATCCAGCACACCATCAGAGACTGAGGTCGGACTAACAGCCAGTGATCCTCAGACAGCGCTGGATCTAGGACATTAGTTCTTGCAAGTGGAATGGCTTCTACTCCCAACTTCTTTCTCAGTGAGAAAGAAAGTGTGTGTGTGTGTGTGTGTGTGTGTGTGTGTGTGTGTTTATGGTGACTTCAGGTGGGGCCTGTGCGTGTGCTGGGGTGTCTCTGTTGGAGAGAGGAGAGGAAACTCTGATGCCTCGTTCCCAGCTTCCCTAGGAAGGTCATGATATACATCAAATGCCATTCTTGGAAACTTGAAATAACCAGCATCATTTGGGGAAAGACATGTTACGTGGGGAAAGAAAGGGGAGGATGGAAGTTTATCTTTGACTTCTGCCCACACTGTTTAGCCTTCCTTCCCAACAGCTACCGTCACCATCTGCCCCACACCTCCTCCCCAGCTCGTCTGCTCGGGGACTCCCCAGGCTGCTGAGGGCCATTCCACGTGAGAGGCTGGGTCCTCCTCAGGCCAGCGGCGTGACAGCTCTCCAGGTGGCACTAATTCTCCCTCCTGCCTGGGCTGTCCTGAGAGATGCAGCAAATAGACAAGTAACTTTTAAAAATTCATCCGTTCACCCTCCCATGGCAGTTTTATTTGGATTATCAATCTCTCCCACACCAAAGAGATTCTGGAGGCTGAAGGGAGGAGAGAAGGCACTTCGACTCATCACAGCTGTCCAGGGGACAGGGTGTTGAGAAGGGTAAGAAGATCCAAGGCCATCAGAGCCTTTCTCTTAGTAGGTCATAACATTTAATGACTTAATTACCTATTTCTTCCTCCTACTCTTGCAAGTTATGGAGAAGATGAGGCCTGAATCACAGAGGTTTCGCTTGTTGGGGGCAAAGAAGAGATTGCAGGGAAAATCTTAAATCCAGGGATTCTATGGCTGTCCACTGGATAAATATTTTCTGCTAGTTGGTGAGTTGGGAAGATCTATCTGAGCCTGGCAATTTTTGGCAAGGTCTTGGAGGCTGGTGGGACTGGGCACCATGGTGGCAGAGGGGGTAGGATGGCTGTGTGTGTGTGTGTGTGTGTGTGTGTGTGTGTGTGTGTTGTGTTGTGTTGTGTTGTGGGATTACCCTTCAAGTATATGATCCCAGAACCCCTCCTTCAGAGGGTCACTTTTTTCTTTTAATCCCATATCAGCGCTGCCCGGGAATGACTTTGGGAATCATTAGGTTTTGCATTAGACAAGCAGGGCAGTGATACTTTGGTACAGAATTTAATCAATTAAAACTTTAGAAAATGACCTTTTAAAAGTGTACAGGTTATAAATATACAGCCTTATTAAAGTTTCACTGTGAGCACTGCCATATCAAGAACTAAAATTACTGCAGATAAGATTTTATGATGAAAAAATCAAGGGGCAAGATGAGTGTTAAGCAGATGTGTAACTTCTAGCTTCTGCCTGGCAAATTGAAGGGAAAATGCAATTCACAGGAAAGTTTGGAAAAAGTATGTACTCAATGGAAAGTTGGGTA